CACCGCCGCACACACACGCCCACTCCCAACGCCCACTAGGGACGCACGCGCACGCGCCCTGCTCCGGTGACCCTGCCGGCGCCCCACGCCAGCAACGTTCGGGGCACGTGAGCGGCGGTTATTCCCTGCCCCGCCCCCAGCTCCCTCCGCCTCGACCAGAGGCGGGGCCCGCGGACTTTGGTGCTCCCCCTCGTCCCCCGGTCCAACCCTAGAGCCGGGACGCGTGTCAATGAGTGCGTGGGGGTGTGTGTCTGTGTGTACCCGCCTTTCCCTGCTCCTCCGTTCTTCACCCTCCCACACCCCGTCCCCAAATTACCTCCACAAGGACTAGCAAACCCGTTTCGTAGGAGCGTGCGTTTGCCGACCCTTCCCCACCTTCCGCTCCTTCGCGAGCGCGTGTCGTTAAGACTCCAGACCCCCGCGGGCCACACGACCGGGCTCGGGAGGCCAGCGCTCCGGCGCGCGACGCGCTACCCGCCGGGAGTGGTAGTTCCGCTGCCGGCTGGCGTCACGCCCTGGACCGGCACAGTGCGGCTTTCTGGCCTCTGCTCAGCCGAGAAGCTGTTCCCCAAACTAAATAAAGTCTCATGGGTATTGCACGACGGGAAGGGGCGGCGCTGCCAAGACGCACAGAGGAGGAAATAAAAGCGAAAGCCTATCGCGACCAGAAGCGGTTACAGTTGCGAAGAGTTTGCTGTGAGCCCATCCAGCAATCGGAGCTACACCACAGGATGACCCGCAGCCGGGAAGCTGGGCCACGCAGAAGCCAGAGGGATGGAGAAACTGCCTAGCGTGGGCCTCTTGAGCTGTCCTTTTACTTGGCTTAAGAAGGCCACTCAAATTGCTTGGTGCTGTTCCTCTTTGATAGATTGTAAAGTGGAGAAGGGAACGAACTCGCCCAAGGTCACATAACCGACAAAAATTAAAGCCAAGGGTGACAGGATGAATGATCTAACTTTTTGAATCACCCCCAAAGCTCTTAACTACTACACCTTTCATGAGCATGAAAATCCTGCCCCTTGTGCTCTTTAAAAAAATTATTTATTGACAGTATTACAGATGTCCATTCCCCCCTTTCCCCTACACCCAGTGCCAGCCCCACCCCAGGCCTTCCCCACACTGTACGTCCATGGGTTATGCATATATGCATATATGTTCTTTGGTTAATCTTTTACCTCCCCTCCCCCCATCCTCCCCGTCTTTC